ATCATTGATGGCGCTAAGTGTCGCAGAGATAGTGAGGTTGGCCCAGGATCGAACATTGTTTCGTTCTGCTGTGCATGGGGTCGCTATGAGTCAGTTCCAACTCGATGGCACCTGACAACAACAACAACCATATATATTCTTCTTTATCCTTTGAGATCAAAATATTTCACTTGAACTTGAAAAATGGCTAGTGATATTTGGGTTGTAACCTCTGACTTTAAACAAAAGTTCTTTGTACTGAATCAAGTAATCTGTATCGAAGCAAAATTGAAAACCCTGACCTCACTAATGTTACAGTCTAATTAAATATATTAGTTAGAATCACAACAGGAAATGAAATGATTTTCACAAGTTAGGATAATTTGTAAAGCTGTGGACAGATACAAAGGAACTACATGAGGCATGGTATAACATCCGATGGCTAGCAGCATCTAAAACACAAAAAGACAAGAAGAGAGATTACTGGAACCCAGACATAGAGAGTTATGTAGAATAGGACAACTTTATCTACTTAGGGACAATGTCAGCCAGAAGCAACCTCACAGGGAGTAAATAACCCAATTCACTCATTTCCCTCAATCAGAGTTCTGGTCTTCACTTTCCATTGATTCAACCTAACAGAAAGTCAGAAGATATGAGAGCCAATTAAAGCAACACATAAAGGTCTGTCTTCCAGGGAGAGAGTTGTATGGTAAATGTGCACAGTGGAATTGGAGGGACAAATGGAAGGTATTTTACAAATTGATCAATAACTACAAAGTAAGTGCAATTACCACCACTCATCTGTCAGTTTGTAGTACTGTGGTGGCTTGTGCATTGCTGTGATTCTGGTAGCTATGCCACTGGTATTTTAAATACTAGTAGGGTCGCATATGGTGAACAATTTTCAGCTGAGCTTCCAAACTGAGACAAACTAGGAAGAAGGGGAAACAGGCTATTTCCCAAACATTTAGTCACTGAAAATCTTATGAAGAGCAATATAAAAGTGTCATATAGCACCAGAATACTGAATACTGAAGCATGATGAAGAGCACCAGAATATTTTCAGGTACAGTGCCAGATAATGAGCCCCTCAGATTGGAAGGAACTTGAAATATAACCAGGGAAAAATTCCGCCTCAAAATAGAGTTGACTGTGATGATGTGATTGGAGTAAAGCTTCTGGAGCTTTGTTTGCTAATTTAGCTGTAAACATTCATTAATAATTGGAACATGGAATGTACAAAGTATGAATTGAGGAAAACAAAATTGTCAAAATAAAATGGAACACATAAACATCAATACCTGAGTTGAAATGGACTGGTATTGGCCATTTTGAATCTGACAATCACATGGTTTACTATGCCAGGAATGACAATTTAGGAGGAATGACAAAGCATTCATCATCAAAAAGAATGTTTCAAGAGCTATCTTGAAGAACAGTGCTGTCTGTGATAGTATAATATCCATATGTCTACAGGAAAATCAGTTAATACAACTATCATTCAAATTTACCCACAAATCACTAAAGCCAGGGAAGATGAAATTGAAGAATTCTATCAACTTCATCAGTCTGAAACTGATCAAACATGCTATCAAGATGTATTGATAATTACTGGTGATTGGAATGCAAGGTTGGAAACAAAGAGGAAGGATCAGTAGTTGGAAAATATGGCCTTGGTGATAGAAACATAGCTGGAGAGCACAGGATTGAATTTTGCAAAACAAATGATTTCTTCATGCCAAATATCGTTTTTAAACAACATAAAAGGTGAATATACACATGGATCTTATCAGATGTAATACACAGAAATCAAATTGACTACATCTGTATAAAGAGATGGTGAAAAACTCTAATCATCAGCCAAAACAAGGCCAGGGGCAGACTGGAACAGATCATCAATTGCTCATATGCAAGTTCAGGCTGAAGTTAAAAAAAATTAAAACAAGTCCAAAGAGGCAAAATATGATCTTGAACATATTCTACTTGAATTAGAGATATTCTCAAGAACAAGTCTGATTAATTAGACACTAATGACCAAAGACCAGAAGATCTGTGGGAAGACATCAAGAACATCATAAAGGAAGAAAGCAAAAGATCATTATGAAGACATGAGATAGAAAAAAAAATGGATGTCAGAAGAGACATTGAAATTTGTTTTCTAGCATAGAGATGCTAAAGCAAACAAAAGAAATGAGGAGGTAAAAGAGCTGAATACAAAATTTCAAAGGGCAGCTTGAGAAGACAAAGTCAAATATTATAATGAAATGTGCAAAGTCCTGAAATTAGAAAACCAAAAGGAAAGAACATGCTCAGCATCTCTTAAGCTGAGAGATCTGAAGAAAAATTCAAGCCTTGACTTGAAATATTGAAGGATTCTATGGGCAAAATATTGAATGGTGCAGAAAGCATCCAAAGAAGATGGAAGGAATACACAGAGTCACAGTAACAAAAAGAAATTGTAGATATTCAACCATTTCAGAGGTAGCATATGATTAAGAGCCAATGATACTGAAGGAAAAAGTCCAAGTTGCATTGAAGGCACTGGCAAAGAACAAGGCTCTGGAAATTGATGGAACACAAATTAAAGTCTTTCAACAAATTGAAGCAGCACTGGACGCACGCACTCATCTATGCCAAGAAATTTGGAAGACAACCATTTGACCAATGGATTGGAAAAGATACACACTTGTACCCATTCCAAAGAGAGGTGACCCAACAGAATGCAGAAACCATAGGATAATAGTATTAATATCACATGAAAGTAAAATATCGCTAAAGATAAATTTAAAACAGCTACAACAGTACATTAACAGAAAACTGTGAGAGGTTCAAGCTAGATTCAGACAAGGATGTGGAATGAGGAACATCACTGCTGACATGAGATGGATCTTGGCTGAAAACAGAGAATACCAGAAAGGTGTTTATTTGTGCTTCATTGACGATGTATAGGTTTTTGATTGTGTGACTCATGACAAGTTATGTACAGCACTGCAAAGAATGAGTATTCTGGAATATTTGATTTTACTATACATAGACCAAGAGGCAGTCATTAAAACAGAATAAGGAAATACTGAATGGTTTAAAATTTGGAAAGGTGTATGCCAGGGTTGTATTCTTTCACCATACTTAATTCAATCTGTATACTGAGCAAATCATTTGAGTACTATATGAAAAAGAACGTGGCATCAGGATTGGAGGGAGACTTAATAACAACCAGCATTACTCAGATGATACAACCCTGATTGCGCTGAAAGTGAAGAGGACTTAAAATACTTACTGATGAAGATCAAAGACTTCAGCCTTCAATATGGGTTACACTTCATTGTAAAGAAAGCAAAAACTCTCACCACTAGACTAATATATAATATCAAGATAAGTGGAGGAAAGATTGTAGCTGTCAAGTACTTCATTTTGCTCGGAGCAACTACCAACACTCACAGAAGCAGCAGTCAAGAAATCAAACAACGTGTTGCATTAGGCAAATCTGCTGTACAAGACCTCGTTAAAGTGTTCAAGAGCAAAGATACCAGTTTGAGGACTAAGGTGTGCCTGACCCAAACCATGGTAATTTCAATAACCTTATATGTGTGTGAGAGTTGGACAATGCATAAGGAAGATCAGAGAAGAATTAATGCATTTGAGTTATGGTGTTGGAGGAGAATACTAAAAGTACAATGGACTGCCAAAAGTATAAACCAATCCGTGTTGGACGAAGTACAGCCAGAATGCTCCCTGGAAGCCAGGAAGGTCAGACTTCGCCTCTCATACTTTGGACATATTATCAGGAGGGACCTTCTCCCTAGAGAAGGACATTATGCTTGCTAACATGGAGGGTCGGTGAAAAAGAGGAAGACTCCCAACGAGATGGAATGACACAGTAGCAGCAGCAATGGGCTCAAGCGTAGCAATCATCATAAGGTTGGTGCTGGACCAGACAGTGCTTTGGTCTGTTGTGCATAAAGTCATTATGAGTCAGTACCGACGCAACAGTACGTAACACCAACAACAAATGCAATTAAATAATAAAAGATTAAATGCTGTTGTTGTTGTTAAGTGCCTTCAAGTTGGTTCTGACTCATAGCGACACTGCGTAGGATTTTTGAGGAGAAGCTGGTTGGTTTGTGGTTTACAGTACAGTGCTGAGCCTACAGCACCACACCAGGATGTTTCAAAACATGTATATGATGCCAGTAAGACATAGACTCAATTCCCTCAGGAGTTTCCCTAGCCTGTGACATTATTCTCATTACTCCCACACTCTATGACCTCTCTCCTATTTATGTGTTCAAAGAAGCCTTCTTGAACTCCCAATCCAAATAATGTCGCTTGTTAAAACGTCATTTAGTTTTTCTTCATATCACTTATAACAGGCTTAATTTATTTGATTTTTATAAGTATTTGTTGTATTTATAACTTCTCCATTAGACTGAAAACTTCATAAAAGCAGGACCATGTTCTATTTTCTTCAAGCTGTATCTACAGTGCAATACAGTACCCGGCACATAGACGCCACTCAGTAAATACTGAAAAACTGAATGAATACATGGCATGAACGAGGGTAACATACAGTTAATGCCTATTGGCTATTAATGTCACAATGAAAATAAATGCATGCTAATGATTACAAATCAAGGAAGCAATATTTTTAGTAAATTAAAACAAGCTTACTCATTATACTTAGGGAATCATAATTAAAGTTTATGAGGATACATTTAAAATATACATATTTTCATTGTCTTCCTACCAAAAACAATCTACCTATTTTCTAATAATATTCCATAAAATTAATGTTAGATTATCATTTTTACATAATGCTATGAAATTGTATCAATCATACCTTCTTTAAACTGCATATTTCAGATTCTTGATTTTTATTTAAAGCAGCCAATCTTTTGTTTATCTGTATTGCTTCTTGTACTGCAACACAAAAGACATTAGGAAAATATTGTATTTAATGCATACCTTAATGTAAGTGCTATCAACACAAATGCGGGAAATAGTTCCAAAATAATGTCTATAATTACTATTGAGAAATTAAATGATAATCATTAAACTACCATTTACTATTGTGTACCACTATTGCTGTTGTTAAGTACTGTCTAGTCAGTTCTGACTCACAGTGACCCTGTATAGAGTTTCGAGGAGTAGCAGGTGGGTTTGAACCATCCACTTTATGGTTAGCAGTCCAGTGTTTATACTATAGCACCAAACAAGGACTCCTACTGAGTATCATACAGTACCAGATATATTTAACTTAATCATGATAAATGCATTCATTTAAAAATTCTTCTAAGTTAGAGTGGCCCTCTAGGACAAAGGAGAACTGTGCCACAGGGTTCCTGAGGCTGTAAATCATTATGGAAGCAGATTGCCATTTTTCTTTTCCATGGAGCAACTGGTGGAATCAAACTGACAACCTTTTGGTGAGCAGCTCAGTGTTTTAACCACTGTGCCACCAGGGCTTGTCCCTTATCAAAAATGTAAGTTTAAATAAGATGAATAAGATTAAAGCCTACCATTTCGTTCTAACTTTCCATGATTCTCTTTGACCAATCCAAATTGGCCTGTTATCGTGGCATAGTATTTCTCAATTTCACTCAATTGCTTGTGATGATCTTCTTTAGCCAGAAGATGTAACTGAACCTTTTGTTCCTATTTTGAAGAGCAATTTTAAATATTAAATAAACATATTATGGTAAATAACTGTTGTTATTAATATATCATAGCTAGATATCATGAAAAGTCATGGGTACACCAAAAGAAGGAAATGTTAGCTAAAAGATATTTCTAGATCTATGTAAAATTAAATATTTTTTTCCTGTAACAAAAGAAATGCTTAAGGTTATAACTCCCTCATTTATAGTTTCATTTTCAAAATCAGCTAGCTGTTCTATTTCTAGAAAAGCTTATCAGTCCAGCACTAAGCTCAATAAGGGGAAAACCAAAGCAATTGTTGTTGTTAGTTGCCATCAAGTCGGTACCGACTCATAGTGACCCTATGCACAACAGAAGGAAACGCTACCCAGTCCTGGGCCAACCTCACAATTGTTGCCATGCTTGAGCTCATTGATGCTGCCACTTGGCCATCCATCTTGTTCAGGGTCTTCATCTTTTTCTCTGACCCTCCACCTTACCCAACATAAGAGCCTTCTACAGCAACTGGTCCCTCCTGACAATATGTCTGAAGTATGAGAGATGAAATTTGGCCATCTTGGCCTCCAAGGAACACTCTGGCTGCACTTCTTCCAACACAGATCTGTTTGTACTTTTGGCAGCCCATGGCACTTTCAATATTCTCCTCCAAAACCATTCACTCAAAATCATCAATTGTTCTTCAGTCTTCCTTATTCGCTGTCCAGCTTTCACATGCATATGAGGTGATTGAAAATATCATGGCTTTGGTTAGGCATACCTTTGTCCTCAAGCTGACATCTTTACTCTTCAACACTTTAAAAAGGTCTTGGGCAGCAGATTTGCCTAATGTAATATGTTGTTTGATTTCTTGGCTGCTGCTTCTGTGAGTGTTGATGGTTGATCCAAGAAGAATGAAGTCCTTGACAACTTCAATCAGACTAAAACAATACTCTTGGTAATTTAGGAAATAATTCTTTTTAATTTCTCTAAACCATCTAAATTATCAAGACCTAGCTAGATAATTGTTTTGATTCTTTGTCTTTTCTTTTTGCTGGCATAATTTTGTTGTGCATTATCAAAAAGCAGGCAATTTTTCTGAGATTAATTTTAATGATGGCATTAAAATTTTTAATGATAATGACAATTTATTAGTGGCAGCAAGACAATATAGTAGAAAATCTACTGAAACTGGAAAATATAATTTGGTAAAAAAGGATTGCTATGTATATAGCAATATAGGCCTCTGCTGCTTTCAACTAAAGAGCTTATTTCAGCTATTCTATTAAAGAATATAGCTTTATTAATAACTCAGTATTATTTTCTTGATAAACACCTCAGTATATAAACATTGAAATAAAATCTGAATAAAAATATAAATTTTTATGTGAAATATTATGCTAATATAATAACTTTTTTAAAAAACTTTTTATTGTGAATTGAGTAAAGGTTTACAGATAAAATCATCAGTTTTACACTCAACAAATTATACACTTTGCTTCATTTCAATGATTGCAATCCTCCCTATGAAACAACAGTTGTCCCCTTCCTCTCAGCAGTTGTTGCTAGGTATCATTGAGTCAGAACAGATTCATAGCAACTCTATGCACAGCAGAACGAAACAATGTCTGATCCTGGGCCAACCTCACTACTGTTGCCATATTTGAGTCCATCAATGCTGCCACCTGGCCAAACCATCTCGTTGGGGGTCTTCCTCTTTTTCTCTGACCCTCCATCTTACCAAGCATGATATCCTTTTCTAGCAACTGTTCCCTCCTGACAATATGTCTGAAGTATGAGAGACAAAGTTTGGCAGTCTTGGCCTCTAAGGAGCACTCTGGCTGTACTTCTTCCAAAATAGATCTATTGATTCTTTTGGCAGCCCATGGCACTTTCAATATTCTCCTCCAACATCATAACCCAAAGGCATCAATTCTTCTACTGTCTTCCTTATTCACTGTCCAGCTTTCGCATCCATATGAGGTTATTGAAAATACCATGGCTTGGATCAGGCGCACTTTAGTCCTCAAGCTGACATCTTTGCTCTTCAACACTTTAAAAAGTTCCTGTGCAGCAGATTTGCCTAATGCAATACATCTCTGTGGTTACCCAAGTACAAATATACTCTTTCAAACTCATATATTTGTGGATATAAACATAGCCCACTCTTCTTTCCAGACCCATTCAGCCTGATTCTCTGGCCATGTATCTACACACATACCACTGTTGTTCCAAGATTGTGTGTATGTCACTATTTACCTCTCTCTCCCCTTTAGCCTTGCAGACCTTGCACATCTTCACATATTATCATCATGCTTCTGTAAACCTCCCTCTTCTTGTATATCATCCTACCCATTATCTGAATTAACATGAGTCCTGGTGTGGTGCTGTGGGCTAATGCGTCAGACTGCAAAGTCACTTGCACTGCAAGGTCAGTGGTTCAAGCTCACCAGCTGCTCCTTGGAAACCCTATACAGGGTCGCTCTGGGTCGGAATCGACTTGACAGCACTTAACAACAACAACAACAACAACCCTCTAAGCAGTAAATTACTCGCCCACTCAATCACTTTTTAACGGTCTTTATTTTGACTTGACATTAGTGGAATCATTGATTGGGCTCACAACTTTTTTTTTTGCCTCCACCTGCTTTAGCTTCTATGACAAGTAGCGCTAACACCAAGAGCATAACAGTGTAGGCCCATCAAGTGATATGTGCAATAATTGTTTTCAGATGAATTCAATGCTGTCCTTTACAGTTCAACAGTGAACATTTATTAAATTTTGCATGACCAGCATTATCATAATTTATTTTATTGAAATACTTCTTTATCATTATAGTCTAGTAGGACTACCATTCAGGAGTCCTACTCTTCCCTATGGAGTCCTGGTGTGGCACTGTGGGTTAATGCACTGGACTGCAAGGTCAGTTTGAACCGCAAGGTCAGTGGTTCAAGCTCACCAGCCACCCCTCAGGAACCCTATCCAGGGTCACTATGGGTCAGAACTAACACAACAGCACTTAACAACAACTCTTGCCTAGTAAAAGGGAAGGCACATTACTTAAAACATATCAAGTGATGTCTATCTTCTTGGAATTTTAATCCTAAACAGAAAAACTATAGAACTAAAGAAGTACAGCAGTGAGTCTGATCCAAGACCTCTGATCCAAGACCTGATCCAGACTGATCCAAGACTTCTGTTGCGCGTGGGGTCCTACTTCACCAACTCTAGAATTAGCCTGGTCCATGTTTGTTCCCAAATCCATCCTCCACTCTGATGGTGGGTGCTCTCACTAAATTTCCTTTTCTATAAATTAACCATATGCTTACAATGAAACTGAAGAGAGTACAACATAGTGATCAAAAGCTAGACTGTCTATGTTTAAATCCTGCTTCTTTGACTTAGTAACTGTGATCTTAGGCAAGTGATCTATCCTGTCTTTAGAATGAAAATTATAATAGCCTCCCTTCATAAGAAGAGCTGTTATAAAGGTAAAGTAAATTAATACAACGTCTTGACAATTGTGCTAACAGTCTCAATTTTTTCAAAATTACTTTTTAATGATTTTAAGCAATAATAATATCACTGGTAGCGATTATGATAGACAAGTTGAGAGTTTCTCATACCCCTTTGTGGACTTTTCAAATTCACTTTAATTGTGTGAATTCATTGTGTAACAGTCATAAATGCAAACAAGCTGACAGGTGTGCTTAGCACATGAGATCTTGTGTCTTCCCTAGTAGTGTCTGTAATCAGTAACCATACAAATGAACAATAATGAAACATAATTCCTTTCCTCTAAAAAATGACTTGAAATCAGAAAATTGCTATATTTGTAAAATATGTATAGAAATCTGATATAATAACACTGAAAATTTGTCTAAAAGTCAATTGCATTTTCTCAATTCAAAGAATTATTCAAGTTTTCAAATCAAATTAATTTGTATGTAGCCTTTAGGATAACACTGTCCTTTACATATTAATGCATGATTCAACAAAGTCTTCCATAGCCTTTCTGCTAAAAATTGAATAAAACAGGCTGTCAATACCTACAAAAGTTAACAATCCTGTTAACTAAAAATGCAGCAGAGATTAAAAAAAAAAAAAGACTTCATAGTTACTTCCTACATATACAGTATAATTTGTGATATCTTTATTCCAGTGTCCTTTTCTTAAAGCTGAAGTTTAATTCAACTAACATGCTGTTTCATTTGTTTGTATGACATAATTCTGATTTTTAAAATACATTAGCCTATTCAATGACCATGCTAAATATTAAAACTTCCAAGTCAAACGAATCTCTATAGCTCATAAACTCATAAGGGCCCATTTGAACCTAGTTGGCCATCCTGGTATAATTTTGATAATCATATGAAGAATCCAGTTACCAACTTCACAACCAATTGTGTGATTTCAGAAAATAGTGTATATTTGGATGAAACAATACTGAAAAGTATACTGGTAATACCTATCTGAGAGACCTTAGAAGATTTTAAAGAATAATATAAATAAATTGATGATGCTATTATTATTAAAACAATAATGTTGTATAAGGGCAAATCAAAAGTATTGCTATAAAGTCACAGAAACCCTTATTAAACAAAAATAACAAAATGCGAAGCTATTGTTTCTCAATATTTACTTCCTCCAGGTCTATATACTTCTAAAGGCAGTGCTTCCATTTCTCCAACCCTTCCCTGAAGAGCCTGCACTCTTCAATTGACTCCACATCAAAACAGCAGTTTGGGCATCCTGGAGCAACTCTTATTAGGTTCCTTTGAAATGTTGTGGAAACAAAAAGAAGTCCAAAGAGGCAAAATCAAGGCTGTAGGATAGATGATGAGGTAAGACAGCCCTTGCTACTCTTGAAGAGTGAGCAGGTGCATTGTTGTTATGGAAAAACAAATTCCTTGGTGCAACTCTCCTGGCCTTTTTCTCACGGATATAGTTTTCAATAATAAGCCTTCATGATTGTCCTGTGTCCTTCAAGAAAATCCAAAATATTATCCCTTTGGAATCCAAAAAAAACAGTTGCCATAACCTTCTGAGCTGACTCTTCTGCATTGAATTCAACTGGCCCAGCAGATCCCCTCAGAAACCACTGTTTTGTTTGGGCTTTTTTTTTTTAAAGCGCTCTAACCAATAAATCTGTTTTGGAGGAAGTGCAGCCAGAGTGCTCCTTGGAGGCCAGGATGGCTAAACTTCGTCTCTCCTACTTTGGACATATTGTCCGGAGGAAACAATCGCTGGAGAAGGATGTCATGCTGGGTAGGGTGGAGGGTCAGAGAAAAAGAGGAAGACCCCCAACGAGATGGATCAGCCAGGTGGCATCATTGATGCACTCAAGTGTGGCAGCGGTAGTGAGGTTGGCCCAGGATCGGACATTGTTTCGTTCTGCTGTGCATGGGGTCGCTATGAGTCGGTTCCGACTTGATGGCACCTGACAACAACAACAACAACAACAACTAGACTAAGGGAGTCCTGGTGTGGCGCTGTGGGTTAATGGGCCAGACTGCAAAGCTGTTTGAACTCCAAGGTCGACGGTTCAAGCTCACCAGCTGCTCCTTGGAAACCCTATACAGGGTTACTGTAGGTCAGAACCAACTCGACAGCACTTCACAACAATAACAACTAGACTCAGACATGCGTATTACTGTGAGAACTTGCCTGCAGCCATTCACTACTCTCAGGTAAATGTTTAAAACATTTTGTTTAAAATAAATCCATGCAAGCATAAAGTAAAACCTTTGTAGCAATACTTTCTGACTTACCCTTGTATGCTTATATATGTGTCTGTATTGATTTTAACCTCAGGGTCAGCGGTCAAATTCACCAGCTGCTCCTTGGAAACCCTATACAGGGTCACTACGAGTTGGAACTGACTCAATGGCACTTAACAACAAAACAACAATATATGATCTCTAAAAGTTTAAAGCTTCTTGTCACATTTAGAATAACAATAATTTTTAAATTTTATTTGCACACAACTTTCAAAACTACACTTACCAATAAAAGTCATAGTGCTACATTTTGCCTCTTTCCTACTTACTTAAGGAGACTTACTTGAAAATTTTTAGAGATAAAATTAATTTCCCTTAAAACAATTAGTTTCCTTGATAAAATTTAGAGGAAAAGATGAAAATTCAAATATAAAATCAGTATATTCTTTTCTATTTTTGTAATTTACATTTCAATTTCTTCAATATGAACTCAAACTAAATCAGTGAAGCTATAAAACTCAATTTTTAAAAGTCTATTGCATTTTTAAGATATTTTTACATTTTATTACAAATATGTCATACTTTGTTGTTGTTGTTGTTAAGTGCCGTCGAGTCGGTTCCGACCCATAGCGACCCTGTACAGGGTTTCCGAGGGTGTAAATCTTTACGGGAGTAGAAAGCCTCATCTTTCTCCCGCAGAGCAGCTGGTAGTTTCGAACAGCTGACCTTAACCGTAACCACTACGCTACCAGAGCTACTTTAAAACTCTATACTTGCACTGCCTATGTAGGTATGTACATATATAATGTTTATATTCATGAAGGTTATTTCCAGCAAGTGTTCAATTAAAAAATATTCTACTCTGAAAAATAGTGTGTGGTGGTTCCCAACCATACAAAAGTCTTCAATATTGCAGGGTTGTTTTTTTTATTTAAAAAGAAAAATAAGCCTTATGCATCTTTTCTTTAGAGGAAAACGATGCACAAGAAAAACAAAATACTGATAATTCTTGGGATTGCCTTAAAAGTAGTTAGATAAATTTTTACTTCCTTCATCAAACTCTATCAGCTACTCAGTATTTAACAACACAACATAATCGCCTATACAGTTGTTGTTGTTGTTAAGTGGTGTCGAGTCAATTCTGACACATAGCATCCCTGTGTAGGGTTTCCAAGGAACAGCTGGTGAGCTTGAACCACCAATCTTGCAGTTCAAATGACTTTGCAGTCTAACGCATTAGCCCACAGTGCCACACCAGGCAGTCACTAAAAAATATGTAAAAGATGATCATCCATGACTGATTAACAATAACCTTTAATTTAAGGTTCAAAATTTATGTTTAACTTATGTTTTATTGCACTCCTTACTAAAAACGACAATGGAAAGAGAATTTAAGTACTTTTCGGAATAGATGAATTTTCAGTCAAAATTGTGTAAATTTATTTAGGAACATATTACCACCTCTAAAAGAACAGAAGTTTACTGAAATCTATTTTTGAATAATCTAAAATTTACAAGTTAAAATATCACCAATAGGAAAGCATGAATCTTTTTTAAATTTCTTAATGGTACTTTAAAAAATTATTTTAGTACATTGAACTTTAGCTATTGCTCTCCAAAGTCTCACCCTGGCATTAGTGGTCATCTTATTTCCCATCTTGTCCACATTATCAACTAATATAAAAGAATTATGTACTGTTTTGCATAAAATTTTGATTAACTATATTATGGCATGTTGTACAGAACTTTGAATAAAGTAAAGGTCATCTGAATTATGTAAAGTAAGATATTTTTTAAATTAAAATTTGTTTGAAATTTAAAATAAAATATTTTTAAAGTATCACTATTCTGTAAGCATTGGTATAAAATATTAAATATACATATGAATATATAGAATTACTTTAATGTAAATTTATTTAATACTTTGAACTGTCAGAAAAGAGAATTATATTATAATTCAAATATCATTTTAGTTGATTCTAAAGAGGCTGCCATCATTCAAATCAAAGCTCTGGAAGTGACCCAAACTAGCATAAGTATACTGCTGCATGTTTCAATGTGTTGTTTTTCTTATTATTAGTAGCTGTCTGAAGAAATTTTAAAGTGGAATAAAATAAAACACATTTTATGTTGCCTTTGATCTTTAACTTGTAGCCTTATCTCCCAGGGCAAAGGGCACATTATTCAATTTCACTATATTTTGTGTAAAACCACTGTAGCGTTGAAGATGACTTTCAGTACAAATGTCATGGTACTTAAAGCTAAACCAGAATCTAGTTTTTCAAGCTTCTTAATTAAAATCACAGTTTATAATAGTCTGACAATATTATCTTTATTCTTTCCAGTTGAACAGCAATAGAATTTTCACATCTTTTATTCAATCAAGCTTAGCAATCTTTATAAAGCTCTTTTATTTTCTAATGCACCAAAACAATTTCAAGAAGGAAAATATTTTTTGTATTTAATGTTATGCAAAGTGAGCTCTCCTTTCTTACTTCTTGTATATATAATATTTAAACACTACTCAAAAATTAATTTTACTTGACAGTCTGCTCCAAAGAATAAAGACTGAAATACTATACCCTTTCAAGAAGTCCTCTGAAGATTCCAGTGAACATAAAAGAACCTTGCTCAAACATTTTAAAATATTTTTCTGATTTAAATATGGATAGAATTGGGGAATCAAAATAAGTATTCCATAAAATATTATGCTGTTAAAACTCAAATGTTAATTTTAATATGCTGGTACTATAGTAGAGGAAAGCACAAGAAATATGTACTTGTTGAATGACAATGAATGAATATCACATCCCAATTAGTGTATTCAAATGTCACTTCATATTGGCATTATTTCCATTTTTCTCAGACCATGATAAAGGACTACATGTTTTTATAAATACCTAGGAAACATATCATTAAAACAATGTGTTAGGATTTTGTTGGTTTTTTGTTATTTTTTATATAAGACCTCTGTCAATCCTTGGGAAGTGTATAAAATTTACTTTTGAAGGTACTATATACCTCCAGTGTAATCTGGAAATAAATTTACAAAATGATTCACTTCGACTATATTTTTAATTGCATGGCAAGCTTTTAAAAAGGATATTAATGTCCATTTTCAAATGTTTCTCTTTATATTATAAATGTCAAATCCATATAAACAAAAATAAATATATGCCTTCTATAATAATGCAGAGAAATATGTATAAATTTGTAATTTCCTTACCATTTCACTCACTTTCTTCTGTAAAGAATATTTAGAAACCTTGAAAAACAAGAGGGAATATCTCTTTTAAAATGATATATTACTAATTACTTTTGATACTAAAATTGTACACTGTGAAATATGACATTTATCTTCTATGTATCATTTTTTCCTGTTTTAATTTTTAAAATTTCATTTATAATAACTTTCTTCCTTAAAGCCAAAATAATACATTCATTCCTTTATTCAATACATATTTATGGAACACCTATGCTAGACCCCTTCCTAGACTGTTGGGAATCAATAGTGAATAAAACAAAGTCACTGTCCTTAACAAAGCTTTCTTTCTGGTAGAAGTGGGGATATATAAATAAAATTTAAGTAAAAAGTCTAAGAGTATTATGTTGTTGTTACGTTCTATGGAGTCTATTCCAACTCAAAGTCGACCCTGTAATGGGTTTTCAAGGAGTAGTTTATGGGCTTGAACTGCCGAATTTTTGGTTACCAGTCCAGGTTTTTTCTTACAGCACCATACCAGGACCCCTATAAATACCAGGAAAAAGAAAGCAAAAGTGACAGGGGAAGCAGTCAAGGAGAGCTTTAAACAAACGAACCATCTCACAATCCAGAGATAAACTGTTAACACTTTGGTACTTTCATATCTTTTTTTCTAAAAGGTATTTATACTTTAAAAGGAAGCCTTTGGGGAAGGAAAATAATAATGTATATGCTACTTTGTAGCTAAAGTAGCATACTTGATATATAAAAAGCACCTTTTACTTGGTATATAAGGAGCTCTGGTAGCGTAGTGGTTACAAATCAGGTTGTGAACCGCAAGGTCAGCAGTTCAAAACTAACAGCTGTTCATGGTAGAAAGATGAGGCTTTCTGCTCCCATAAAGATTTACAGCCTCGAAAACCCTGTACAGCATCACTATGAGTAGGAACTGACTCCATGACACATAACAACAACAACAACACTTGGTATATAAAAAGCACCTTTTACAACAAATCAATCTAAAATATAACTTTTTAAAGGCTACATAGTATTTCACTGGATAATATTACCATAGTTCACCTGATCACTCTTATTTTATAGGTTTTCAATTTTTAATTTTTCACTATTAGAACAATATGGAAACAAGCATGCCTGTACCTAGAACTTGCTGTGTACCCATACTTATTCATTTTAACAGAATATATTTCAAGAAGGAGAATTCCTAAGATTTGTTACTTTTTATTTGTTGTTGTGAAGTGCCGTTGAGTCAGTTCCTACCCTGTATAGGGTTTCCAAGGAGCAGCTGATGAGCTTGAACCACTGACATTGCAATTCAATGACTTTGCAGTCAGGCACATTAAAACCCACAGCATTACTCCAGGACTCCTTTTTATAACCTTCCTTACAAAAATTTATTTGACCTCCAGATTATTTGACCAAGTTAAATCCCAAGTAAGTATTTATAAGTGCCCATTTTCTTACATCATCTTTACACTGTTAAATTATAAGCAAAAACAATAATAATAATAAACATTACTTCATACTTCCCCCAAAAATAAATTTTCAGATTACTGTCATAAATGAGCTGATAATATTTCATTTTGTTGGAATGGGTCATATATAATTGATTTCTTCAACAAATATTTATTAAGTGCTTACTGTAAGTGAACCGTGAACCAATGGAGGAAAAAAACAACAGCAGTCTAATTTAAATTCTAGAAGAGACAGATAAAAGAAGCATAACTTAAATATATCGTTAAATATTCCTAAATGCTAAAGAAAAATAATAAAACTGGGAAGGACAGTAAGGAAGACCTTTCAGATATGACAATTTTTAGTAGTCTTGACAGAAGTGGAATAATAACATCCAGCATGTGCAAAGGCCCAAATGTGGGACAATGCCTGGTATGTTAAATAAATAAAAAAATCTTTTTAATCTCAGTAAATAAACCAATATGGACGAAAGGGAGTGAAGAAAGAGAATAACAGCTGATGAGTTCAGGAAGACGTAAGGGCAGATAGGGGGTTACATTATGTTAGGTCTTAAAATCCATGACAAGGATTTAGATTTTTATATGAATGAAACCAAACACCAGAATGAAATAGACAGTTCTGAGTACAAATGTGGCATGCATGGCCTTTGTTATGTTAAGAAAAAGCGGAGAAAGAGATGAAAGCAGGAAACCCCTTAATAGACTATTTCAGTAGTTCAGGTAAAAAGATGATTTGGGTTAGAGTGTTAGCAGAGAACATAGTATGAGAATTGTTAGATTGTGGACCTATTTTGAAGGTTGTTGTTACGTGCTGTCGAGACAGTTCAAAGCCATAGCAACCCTAGGTATAACAGAACAAAACAACACCAGGACCTGTGCCATCCTCACAATCCCTGCTATACTTCAACCCAATGCTGCTGCCACTGTGCCAATCCATCTAGCTGGGGGTCTCCCTCTTTTTCACTGATGTTTCACTTTACCAAGCATGATATCCTTCTCCTGATAACACGTTCAAAGTATGAGAGACGAAGTCTGGCCATCCTAGCTTCTAAGGAGCATTCTGATTGTTCTCCTTCCAACAAAGATTTCTTTGTTCTTCTGACAGTCCATGGTACCTTTAATATTCTTCACCAATGCCATAATTCAAATGCATCAATCCTTATATAGTCTTCCTTATTCATTTCACACGCATTTGAGGGTATTGAAAATACCATGACTTGAGTCAGGCACACTTTAATCCTCAAACTGACATCTTTGCTCTTGAACACTTTAAACAGGTTTTGTGCAGTAGATTTGCCTAATGCAAATTTACAACTAGAAAAAGAAAACTGAGAGGGAAAACACTAAAGAAGTTAGTGTTAGGTAGGTGAAGATTTTAATAATTTGGTTTTGAACATGTCAAGTTTGAGATGCTTTTTAACATTCAAGCAAACAGTCAATTCAGATTGGATTAGAGCTGAAAAGATACATTTTTATGATCAATCAATTTTAAGATTATTAGGTGAGAGTATTTTTTTAAGGCATATAGAAAAAAACAAAGTAAAAGGATAGAAGTTATCTGGAAAAATTGCAGAAAGAAATAGAAAGATGAAATTCAGAAGACTAACTCTAATTCTGAACTTATTATGTACTTTTATAAGTCAGAAACAAAACTAATACATCTTGAGCAAATTTACCAAATTATTTCAGGCTACTGTTGGACAACATTGTGAAGTATGAGTATTCCGGCACACTTAATTGTGCTCATGAGGAATCTGTACATGGACCAAGAGGCAATTGTTCAAACAGAACATGGGAACACTGAATAGTTTAAAATTAAGAAAGGTGTGTGACAGGGTTGTGTTCTTTCACCACATTTATTCAACCTGTACGCTGAGCAAATAATCGTGAGAAGCTTGGTTATATGAAGAAAAACACCTCAGGATTGGAGGAAGACTCATTAACAACCTACGATATGCAGATGATACAACCCTGCTTGCTGAAAGTGAAGAGGACTTAAAACATTTACTGATGAAGATCAAAGAGCACAGCCTTTGGTATGGATTCCATATCAATGTAAAGAAAACAAAAATCCTCACCACTGGACCAATAAACAACATTCTTATCAACGGAGAAAAGATTGAAGTTGTCAAGGATGTCATTCTTCTTGGATCAACTATCAACACTCCTGGAAGCAGTAGTCAAGAAATCAAACGACCTACTGCATTAGGCAAATCTGCTACACAAGACCTTTTTAAAGTGTTGAAGAGCAAAGATGTCAGCTTGAGGACTAAGGTGTGCCTGACCCAAGCCATGATATTTTCAATAACCTCATATGCATGTGAAAGCTGGACAGTGAATAAGGAAGACCATTGAAGAACTGATGCTTTTGAGTTATGATGTTGGAGGAGAATACTGAAAGTACCATGGGCTGCCAAAAGAACCAATAGATCTTTTTGGGAAGAAGTGCAGCCAGAGTGCTCCTTGGAGGGCAAGATTACCAAACTTCCTCTCTCATACTTCGGACATATTGTCAGGACAGACCAGTCACTGGAGAAGAATATCATGTTTGGTAAGGTGGAGGGTCAGAGAAAAAGAGGAAGACCCCCAGAAAGATGGATTGGCCAAGTGGCAGCATCGATGGACTCAAGCGTGGCAACAACAGTGAGGTTGGCCCAGGATTAGGCAGTGTTTCATTCTGCTGTGCATAAGGTTACTATGGGTCGGTACCAACTCAATGGCACCTAACAACAACAACTGTTCTTTAGCCATTACTAACTCTGCATTTGTATTCTTTCTTGCCCAGCCTATAAAACTAAACGTGGGGAGAAGAGCAGAGAGCAGGACCCTACCCAGAGAAGCAGTGATGCCTGAAATGGAGCCAGAGATGATGATGTGGAGCGATGGAGCAGCTGGAGACTTTAGATCCAGAGAGGGAGAGCGACTGTGTGCTGAAGACCTGGGAGGTACGGAGGGAATGATTGCATGGAGGGGATTGTAAACCATGGCAATGAGAGACAATAGATGATAGAATGAATGTAAAACTAATGTTCTCCCATGTAAACTATCACATAATTCACAATAAAACATTTAAAAAAAAAAAACTAAATGTGGCTACATGGCTGTATTACAACAACACACAAAATGATTTGAGAGTAATATAATTAGACTGACACGCAACTGTATCTTTGTCTTGATGCTAACAGGTTGTAAGATGAAACCAACAACATCATATAGGAAGAAAGCAAAAGGTCATTATGAAGATAAGAAAGAAGGAAAAGATGAAAATGGATGTCACAAGAGACTCTGAAATTTGCTATCCAGTCTCTAAAGACGTTAAATCAAATAGAGGAAATGAGGAAGTAAAAAAACTGAACAGAATATTTCAAAGGTCATCTTGAGAAGACAAAGTCAAATATTATAAACAATGTGCAAAGATGTGTAGTTAGAAACTAAAAGGGAAGAAACCCTCAGCATTTCTCAAGCCAAGGACACTGAAGAAAACATTTAATCCTTGATTTACAATATTGAAGGATTCTATGGACAAAATATTGAATGATGCAGAAAGCATCAAAAGAAGATGGAAGGAAT